ACACGCGGCTGGGCTGAGGAGGGACCCTCGGGGAGTGCAGGGCATGAGGGGCCGTGGGGAGATCCCGGGGAAGGACCGAGATGTGGGAGTAAGGAGGCCGGGTCCTCACTGTGGCACAACCCCGCTGCCTTGGCAGCTGAAAACTCCCCAAGACCTACTGAAAGTCTTGACTGTTTCAATCAGTACGTTAGTTTTCTCAAATTGTAATTTGCAATTTGCCCTAATTTACCGTTTTTATGCTTCTATCATTCTGTAATTCTGCTCTGTAGATCACTTTTATATTTTCGTCTTAAAATCCAAGGAGGATGTGTTTTGTTCTCTTAGGAGTTTCTTCCTGTGTTCTCAGTCCTCACTCTTGCATCAAATGCAGAAAGTGTATTAATGAATACTTAGAAGGTGGGGAGGCTGTCTGTAGAATTTGGAGATAAAGCAATGGTACAGAGAGCAATATACATACATTTCTTTTTCCGTATCCTTGTAACTCCAGAAATAATTTTTTTTCCTTAATTTTCTCCCCTTATTTCAAATATGTAATAGATGAAAATTACATTTTTAGTTCAAATGAACGAAACTATGATGTTTTGTACCATACCATAAGTGTCATAATAGAGGCTGAGGAATAAAGAGTAACCCAATCAAGTACTCAAGAACTTGATGTAAAAGTGGTATGATTTTATTTTCTTCTCTGCCTGCAGATAAAGACCTACAGTTTCACATTGTTAAGCAGGCTAGAGCCCAAAGTGTGAAGGAAGGTGCAGGCTACAGTGAAGGTAAGGAGCAAGCAGATACTGATGTGATTTCATCAGCCTCCTGTGGAGAGTTGCCCTTGTCTCCCTCCTTGCTGCTTCCTTCATTCCACTGAGAACTGCTGTGAGGAATTTCACTTCATTTATTTTTAATATTCCTTCCCCTGCATATCTTGGAGCATGATTAGTTTCTACACTTGGGGCAACTAGATGAGAGACTTTGAGTTTGTTGTGCCTGTATCTCTTATTGTCTTCAGGACTGAAAAAACCAACCAACAAGCTGGTTACTATGTTGGACTGTTTCAAGACTGAACTAAGAATTTGCATAAGAACTGTGTTGGCACATTTGCAAATGTGATGTTGTCCTTTGTCACTGCTCCAGGCTCACTAATTCCTTTACATTTCATTTTTCACTGGGTTTTGTGACCAGACAGGGGACCAGGCTAGGATGGAGTCTTTAAAGGTTCAGATTTAGATCAAGCAGAAAAATAGGGCTCCCTGTGGAATCTGTTGAGATTTAGTGTATGGTTGAGAAATTACTGCACCACCTGAAAGAACATTTGCTCTCTGTAGACTTTGGTTTGTTAAACATATATAGGCAGAAGGAAAAGTAACACTGAAACTTTTCTGATAGTGAAATACAGCTGCACTTGCTTGGACAGGTTTTCGTGGTTTCTTTGTTTCTCTGGCATAGCAAATAGAGGCTTAATGGACAGTTTCTTGGAAAGGGAAAGTCCTGGGATGAGCACAGTGCTTTGAGCATGCCAGGTGCATTTCCTCTGAAGGGAAGTGGGAACTCATTAATTTGACACAACCACATCCAAGCAGAGAAGCAGCAGATAAACCCTTTGTGGAGTGGTTCAATGCAAAGGTGCACCAGTGAGCCACTAGATGCCAGTGTTCACTGCCCAAATTGCCCTGCAAGCTTGCCTTTCCCTGAGGATAACACTGAAACTGGATTGGTGGTTCTCATTGTGACAGCTTGGCCTGTTGTAAGATTTACCTACTTGTTTGTTCAATTTAAAGTCTTTGGCAACAGAAACAAATGAAAAATAATTTTTCATTGTAAATTTCCTTTTGACTTACTGTCTCAAAGGAAGAGATTTTCTTTATTTGTTTTCCTTTTTTTCAATTGTAACCATATTTAGAATATAGCTACATTGTTGAAAACAAAAATTTGTCTCAATCACAAGTTGTGTAATTCTTCTAAAATCACAAGCATGTAATTATCAGTGAATTTTTATGGACTTCTGTGACCTGTAAAACAGTGCATTTTAAAAAGAGACTTCTAGTTTTTGTGTTTAAATTCATTTGTTCATGTTAAAACAGTTCTGATTTAGGTTCCAAGTACAGTAATGCTGAAATCTTGTATTTTAGGTTTGTTTGTAGAGGTTACCGTGGTTTCTCTTCCTCTTTTTTAGTGTCTTTAGTAATAGTAGGATGTGAAAGATTGCCCAGCTTCCATTAAGAGCTGAATAATCTGGAAAAGTTCTAGGTTTGCTGTTGTTGCATACATCCTTCTTATGTGTTGGCTCTGCTGTCTGCCTGGAGATGTGTGGGATTGTGTTGGAGGAGGCAGGATTATGGAGGTCAGATAAATGGTTGCAGGAAAACTGAAAGTTTTTGACTCAAATGGTGTTTTTCTGACAATGTCCTAGAGGATTGCATCCTGTATCTTTGTGGAAGTCGCTTAACTGCTGTTGCAATGGATTGAGAATGGATTCGTTTGTTTGGAGGCATGTGTGTTTTAACTGGGGGATGGGAAAGAAGAGTGTTCAGGCAGAGTGTTTGTTTCCATAGCTTTAAGTCAGTTATCTGATCTGGAGCACTTTGAAAGTGCCTTTGTAGTCCTTTCAGCTATAAATTCCTGTGTCAGTCTCTTATAAAAGCTCTGTAGAGAAGGTGGCAGTGTGAGTGAGACTCATTTTCACAGTGCTTGGTTATCTAGTCTCCTAGAACCTTTCATTCCTGTTGGCAGAACAGGTATTTTGCAGCTAGCACTTTATGTAACATTTTAGGAGTAAGATAAACCCACAAGATAGAGCTGCAGCCTCTCTTGATTTAGCTTGTAAGCCAAGAGCTGAAACTCATGGGAAATTACAGAGGTTGCTTTGATCTAATCTTGTATGATTCCTTTGTGGCATATGAAAACTGTATCTGTGTAAGCAATCAAGAGGGGTTTTACAGCCTGAGGGGGGCTTGGGAGGGATCTTTGAGCAGTTTTCATCTTTTCAAATTAAGAAAGTTGAAACTTCTTACAGATACATAGAGGAAGGATGAAAACAGCCTGGGAGTCATTGCATTGTTTGTTTCTTGAGCTTCTTGCTATTTTCCTGTATAATTATGCTGCTTTACAAGTAACAGCTCTCTGTCCAACCTCCAGGTTCTTACTCATTACTGCCCATAGAAGTTCCTCAAAACCACAAGCGTTTCACCTGTGACCTGACCCAAGCTGACCGCCTTGCCCTTTACGATTACGTTGTTGAGGAGACAAAGAAACAGAGGTCCAGATCCCAGATTACGGAAAATGACAGTGATCTCTTTGTGGATTTAGCAGCAAAAATCACCCAAGGTTTGAAGAATGATCTATTGTTGAATTTATGGCTCAGAACTTTCACTTTGTCCAGTTACATGAGTTTTGTTGATAGCCAAACAGAATTGATTGTGGGTTTTTTTGGGGTTTTTTTTGTGGAGAGCATACTGTTCTTAAAAGCTACAACAAAGATCCGGGATCAGAAAATGCTAGTTTGTTGTCCTTTATGATGTTTACCTTCTTGGAAAATCTCAGTGCTCTGCCTTTTGCACATGTATTATGGGTATCTCAGTGGATGGATCTTCTGTCTTTGCTGCAGCTGTCTCCAGGTTGCCTAATAGTGCCACTGTGCTGTGCAGCCTGGAACAGTTATTTGCTGTAAGACGTGATGAGATTAAAGATTGCTTAACAGTAAAAGCTGAACAGGAGAGGTTGGGAGTCATCCAGGTGGAGCTCTTGAGCAAACATACTTTGGTGTTGTTTTGGAACCTCTCATCCCTGTTGAGTCATGCCAGTTTGTAACTTCCAAGTGCAGCAAAAGCATCTGTGTCACCCTGCAGGCCCTGCTGTGCCTAGGAGGTGTGACAGTGCTTGGCATCTATGCAAGTAACTTTTTTACAGAATCTGGCTTTCTCATTCTGTGTCTTTGTGTAATACTAGCTTTGAAAACATGATTTGTATTTAGAAGGTGTTTGACCAAATCACAAGCCTGTATATTGGCGTGGATCACAGTTTGGAGACTGAGATCACACAACAGCGTTTGCTTGGTGGCTTTTTACTTGTGTGTAAGCAGCCAGCAAGAAGGTTGGAGGAGAAGCTTGAGATAAATTCACCATAGTTACTAAATACAGGAGGAACTTGAGAAAGAGCACAATTATTTTATGTTTCTGAATGTACGAGGCCTGCACACCTGCAGGTGCTCACATCCTGCTAATGACCATTTGTTTTACTCCCAATTTTTTGCTAGATGATAGTCAGAAAGGTCCAAAGTCCCATCTTGAAATTCTGGCTGAAATGCGAGATTACAAAAGGCGGCGGCAGTCATACAGAGCTAAGAATGTTCACATAACAAAGAAGTCCTACACTGAGGTGAGATGGGGAAAAAAAAGGCTTTTTTTGCACAAAAGTCCTTATTATATATCAGCATAAACAAGTACATATGCTTTCAAAGACAAATAATGGGTCTTTCTCTGCTTCTTGTATCCTGCTTTGTTATTGTTGCAAACTGTAGAGGAATGGTTTTGGTTTGTTGCAGCAAGTTACAAATAATGAACATTTCTGACTGCTGAGGTTTGAATGTGAAATTGCCAGCAAGATATAGCTCACTATCATAGAATGGTGCTATTTAAATTTATGCTGAAACATTTTTCTGCAAATAAGACTTTCCATTCAAACATCTGATGTACAGGGTTTGGGGGAGATTTTTGTGGGGTTGGGGGTTTTTTTTGAGATGTTTACAGTTTGTTTAGTGCTAGTTCAGGCACTACCAGGACATGTTTGTTTTTAATATATCTTAATCTCCAGGTGATTCGGGATGTGATTGGTGTGCATATGGAAGAACTCAGCAATCAGTGGCAGGAGGAGAACAGGTTGGATAATTCAGACATATGTGAAGGAGGGAAGTCAAAGTCTTCAGGAAGGTATGCCACAGCTGACAGCTTCTTCAGGCATGAAGCAGATTGTAATTTTATCTTACCACCTTCTTCTAATAGCACATATCAATATTATTTGAGTCATATGCACGGTTTATTTTATACTAATTCTATTAAGTCTTGCTTGAGAAACTCTGCCTGCATGGAGGATGGAGAAAAATTAATAAGTATCTTTCTTTCAGAGGTAAGTAGGTTAGTTGCAAGTGATTCAGCTGAACAGCTAGTTTCTGGTGGAGCTGGGGGATGAGTAGTGCTCCCTCTGTGCCCAAATGTGTATATATGTTGTAGCTGGGTACAGAAGGACACTTGGAAATACAAGTACACAATTTTTTACCCTTCCCTACCACATGACATGTGCTAGATATATTACACCTCAGAGTAAAGGTTTCCATAACATAGTAAATATGGGGAGGCTTTACAGTTCTTATCCCTGCAAATGCTGCTGTGCTAATTAGGAGGGTGTTGCAGCTATACATATTTCTGCTGTGTCAAGCAACACTGCACACCCTTCCACGTGTTTGTCACTGAAGTAAACATGGAGTCATGACCTAGTGATTGCCTATTTGTGCCTCTTCAGCAGGTCTTTGAGAGGAGAATGTTTTTGAAACACACTAGAAAGTGACAGCATTAAAATGAAGATGAATGGGTGGCAGAGCACTGGAACAGTCTGCCCAGGGAGATCCTGGAGTCTCCCTGTCTAGAGAAATTCAAAACCCACCTGAAGAGCTTCCTGTGTTAACCCGCTCTAGGTGACCCTGCCTTGGCAAGGGGAGTGGATTAGAAGATCTCCAGAGGTCCCTTCCAACCCTAACAATTCTGTGATTCTGTCAGATCACGACTTAGGTTCTCCAGCTGTAGGCTGCAGCTTAAGGCAGGTGCTTGAAGAGTTAAAAGATTTGAAGCAAAACAAAGTGAACCCCTTCTACTGCCTCCTGTTTGACAAGCAGAGGTGTTAAGGAGCAGTGCTCATAGGAAATAACTGGGTTAGAGTGCTGAGATGTGCACATGGACTTTGGGCCTCTTTTGGGAGGTATTGCATTTCTTAGAGAGATAGGCTTAATAAAAGATATGTCTTCTGTCTTACATCAGTGGTATGTCACTATATTACAAAACTGGTACTGGAAGCAGTGACTGTGAAACTGTTTTTATTGATGAAGTCACTTAAGTTTGTTTTCAGAAGGGAGGACAGGCGGTCAGCTTCGGTGGACTCGCGGCAGTCAGGGGGAAGCAGCAAGGACACGGAGTGCACGAGACACAGGAGAGACACCAGCAGGAGTCCCAGTAAACGGAGGAGGAGTCGGGAGAGAGGCAAAGACAGAGACTCTCGGAGAAAAAGAGAGAGGTGAGCAGAAACAGTGACAGCTGACTCCTGCTTCCCAATCAGGCGGCTGTAGCCGTTTTCTATGAGAACTTAGTGCAGAGGTTGAGAATGTCTCATCCAGTTAAAAAGCTAGGCTAACCTCATGTGCAGTATGACAAGTCAGTGGTATGAGGCTACTAATACTAAACAGAACATACTGTGAGATCACAAACTGTGATCCAGACTTCAGAATTTACTGGCACATCTTTTCCGTAGCATGCTTGAAGGGTTGCAACAGTACTGTAACAAGCTGTTGATTTTACTCCTTGATCAGTGTGGTTAAAGGGACAGCATGTTTCTCATCCACAACTAAGTGCCTGTCATGTCTAATGATGATTTCTGCTCTAGTTTGCTCTAGACCTTAATAAATAGAATTATTAACCTTTCCACATTAGATGCTTCAAAACAATGCTGTTGCTCTTCAGTACATCTGGATATACAATTTAGCAAAAGAAAATAAATCTAGGCCACAGCTTACCATCAACATACCATCAACCATCATACCATCAACAAAGTTGATATTTACATCTGCAGGAGCACAGGTGTGTGGGACCTGTGTTTGAGCAGATGTGATAGGGACTGTTGTGCAGAAGAAATGCTGCCTTGCCCCTTGTGTTTGGGTAAATGCATTACATAACTGCAGGGATGGCAATGATGGCTTGTCTCAAAGCTGGCTTCATTACACCGTGATGCCATTCATACTCAACTAATTGCCACTCTGGCACTGCATGACAAGGCTTGATTAAAGCAGCATGGAAAATAAACTGTCTAAGAGCAGTTTACTTTCTCTCCTTAGAGGACTACATTTAATGAGAGCTTTCCATTTTCCAAGTTGTTTTTTCTCTTCAGACTTTCATGCTGAGCCTAACAGCCCACTCAATGTTTATGTTTTCGTTTCAGGGATGAAGACAAGTATTACAATCATAAAAGAAGAAAGTAGGAACAAGAACCTGATGATTTTGTTTGCCAGCTGTTCAAAACATAACTTCTACAAGAACTATTGTTACTGCTGTTTTTTCCAAGACAGTAAAGGTGTGCACATAATATTGGTGTTGCATCATACCTGTGCTGCTTGGAGACGAAAAAGTGCTACAGTTTGTCAGGATGGAAGCAGTGTATTTCAGATAATGTGTAAATCTGTAACATTTATACATCTGTTAATAAATTATATTGATCTCTCATGTATTTGAGTTATTCTGACAAGGCTGAAGAACAAAATTTATGAGAGGCTGTACTTACTGGCCTTCCTGGCCTGTAAGTAGTGGATATAGAACACAGCTAATCCCTGGAGTCCAGATCAGTTACAAACAGGAAATGCATGAAGAGAGCTCCCTCTCCTACCTGACACTGTTACCTCTAGGTGACTCTGCCTACTTACAGCATGTATCAGAGGGCAGATTTCAGAGTTCCTCAACAGGATAAAACATCTTCAACTGCAGCTGGTGTTAAATGGACAATAACACAAAAGTTAGTGTTCCCAAGCTCATGCGCAAAGAAAATTCAGAACAATAGAATCTGGCAAAGGTGATGAGAATGTAGCTCTCCACAGAAGCTCGGGGCAGGTACTAAGGACACTTGGAGTATTGCTGACGACCATATTCAAACAGCAGGTACATTTCCTTTCAGCACTAACTAGGAAGACTTCCCATCCTGTCGACTAACATACATGTGTTTGTGATAGAGGTTGCTAAAACAGACTTAAAACATGCAGGGAGATATTAAGGATGTAGTGTTCTGTTAATTCCTCACACAATTACTTCAGCAAGGTCAGTCACCATCAGCCAAGCTTCTTGCCTCAATAAAGTAAACAACTATAAGAGAACAAGATCCATCTTTTCTAAAATACTTCTGTTTGTTCAATGTGTCAAGAAAGGGCACTTCATGTTGCTCCTGGTTGTGGCCTTCTCAGTCAAAGGGAATCTTTCCAGTTTTAGTGCAGCTTCTAGTATCCTCTTTCATATCTCAGTTGTTTCTGCAATTAAGTGTGACTATCTGTCAGTAAATATTTGGTCTAGTTTGGATGGATTTAGGCTTTATACCTGCCTGTTACAGCAGTCTAACCAAACAACTCTGTGTCAGGTATTCCTCACCTATGTGACAAATGCAGTAGCTTTAGCTGTCAAAAAACAAAATATATTTTAAAACATCTTTATCCAAAAATGAAAAAAGGTATTTAAGTTCTAAAAGGCTTCTAATTAGAGGGAAAACAATATGGAACCACTGCAGTCCTTGCATTGGTTTTGTCTACCAGCTCAGCCACAGGGTTCTCATTAAGTTCTTTCAGCAGGGCCTGGTAAAACAGTTTAAATAGAGCATGTCCTGGCAGACAAGCTGTGTTTGTGCCAGAGTCAAAATGAAGTGAGAGCTACCAGAAGCATAATGAGAAATGCTCCAGTTACATCTGCCCTGGCTTAACTCAATTCCATGTTTTACTTAATCAGTTATCAAATGTAGGTAGGAAGCTTGGTAAAAAAAACAACTTTTGCTCAATTCAATATAAGCAAATGAGTGAAGGGGTCACTCCCTAGGGGTGGCCATCAGTATCTGAGAGGCTGGAAAACAATACAACCATGTATTATTCAATGAACATCCCCTGAAGGGCCATCTCAAAAGCAGGACAAAGAAAAGGAAACGCTAGAGAAGAGGATCATGTTGTTCTGAAATGTGCAAATTAGGGTACTTTGAACACAAATTACTTTCTTGAACTTATTTATTCCTTCTTTTATTTTTCTTCTCACCTCATGCTGAAGAGTAGGGCTGGTAAGGTTGATCAATAAAATATGAAGGAGTATGGCAGGAAATGTCTGATCAGCACCATGCCAGAGTGTTTGTCCCTGAAAAGGAATAAACCAAAATTTTTAAGTGGCACTTTCACATGGTAAATCCTAGTGTGTTGGTAAAGATACAATTTAGGGCTATATGAAATGCAATAAAAAGGGGATTTATGATCTGTTAAATCAAAGAAACAGCCCAGAAAATGCTGCTGGTTCCAGAAGCAGGAATATGCAGATGTTACAAGCCTGTATATAATAGCTTCCTACAGGGAAAATTGTACCACCCTGCAGAGACTTCAATATTTCAGAGAAAGATGGATAAATAACAATTTATCTTTTAACAGTGTATAAACGCTGAAGTTGACAAAAAATAACTCTGTATATTTTTGATACAATCTTAGTCAATCCTTACTCCTGTCATCATGGCTATGCCCAAAAGAAAATGGACTATTCACCTGAAATTAAAGGCTTTTGGAGAACCCAGAGGCAATTGATACATTAAAATTCCTTGCACAGGTTTTTACTTACGCTTTTTCTTTAATTTCCTCAAGGAATGCATTAGTTTCTGTCTCTGATATCTCTCCATCAATACTGGCCAAATACAAATAAAGGAACGAGAATGTTTCGAAGGGAATTCGAGCTGCTCCACCTTCTGGGTCTCTTGTTAGGATCTCACAGGCCTGCTTCATTGAACTCAGTAAGGACTGCAGGGTTCCAGCAAGAAACGAAAGGAAAAGTATCAGAGCCATGAACATCCTTGCATATCATGGCAAAATCCACACTGTAAACCATTAAAAGGGAGGGTAAATGAGATGAAGGCGTTATCATCGTTGCCTAGCTTCAAACCCCAAATTTACTCTCTAGTGCAGGCCCAAGGATGGAAACAATGATGCATTTCTAGTGGAGGCAGGAGTAAAAAATACCAGAATCTTGTGATGGTTAAAGATTGCATAGGGTCATCTGAGCTCTCTCTCCATTAGGGCTGAATTGCTCTGTTCTGCTACTGTAAAAGCTCCAACACACTGTATCTAGTAAAAGATCTTTTTGTGTGTGTATATTACCTCAATGGCTCTAAATGAATTCTCAGCAGCAGTTAAGACAGATAAGTTTACAACCCCCAGAAAATAAATATAGGTTTGGTAATTTTATTGTGATATTATATTACATAATTTTTAGATTATATTTTGGCTGATATTTACTGTTTCCCCAATCTCTATGCAAGTTCCATTTTAATCGATAGTAGAAAAAGCACTGAGGCAAAGGCATTTAAAGAATATTTCAGTTTAGTCAAATGTCAATAACATCCAAGTTACCTTTAAAAAACATGCCTGAAATCATTAGTTCCAAATATACTTTGAAAAAATACTTCCTTTAATATGGTGTTGACAATCCAGTGCCCTGTGCATGCTGAGCTATACTGGGAAAACTGTTGAAAATTTCAGCATTGAGTTTCATTCAAAGACTGATTGGATGCCATTAAAGAAACAAACAGGTAAAACCACATGCATCATATATATCCAAAATATAAAAGCACAAAACCAAACCCACAAAGGCTTTCTTCCACCTAAGTCTTAATATTTTTCACTGCAACTTTTTCAAAATTTACTCTTACATTCTCATTAACAAGCAAGCAACGTCTATGTAAAAAGAAAGTATTTCCTAACAGTAGAATAGCAATACTTAAAATAAATAAATTATCTGTTTAAGATCTAGAACACAGGCCAGAGAAGTGTCATCTTATAATCCCTTACCAGTTTTACTTAATGTAACTTCTCCCCTGGAAGACTTTTCAGGGAAAAGAGAAGCAGCTGACTCTGTGATGGCCAACTCTACATTTTGCATTTGGCTGCCCCTCTACTGTCCTTTCTGGTCCTGCCACCCCAACCTGCCACAGTCTCTCTCCCAACATAGCAAAGTTATTCATATCCATTTTGCCAGCCTTGAAAGACAATTTAACAGGCTACCCGTGTGGTCATTTCTCCTTTTGTAAAGGATTTTGTAAAAATGTATTGATGCTTTACAAAAAGGATACTTCAGACTGGTGCTCTTAAGAAGTTCGTATTTGTCTACTCTTGTATCTCAACCATGACCCTGTCTGACTGTGAACACAATTTACAGCTGCAGAAAATGAATGTCAATTTCTCGTGTATGTCTTTCTCTCTGGTTTAGGAAACTGAGATCTAGGTTTCATTATGTAGTAGTGAAATCACATAATTCACTTAATATCCAAAAGGATGGCGAGATGGTGAAATTTAGTCTGTCTAGCTCCATCAGAATGATGTTCCTGTGACTCCATTTTTAGTTTTGGTTTATTTGGGTTTTTTTTGCAGGAGAGAGTGGTTGTTGTCTTTTAGATAAGTAATGTTGCTGTTACTATTTTTAAATGAAGAAAAGAGCCCAAATGACAAGATCATTTTGGGAGGAAGACTGGAATCAAGAAATACAAATTTGAAATAAAGACAGACAGATGGAAAGACAGATGGATAGATAGACAGACAGACAATTGCACAGTTGCATTGCCAGGCCAGGCTAACATTCAGGCCTTCCAGATATTGCAACATTCACAAAAATTTATTTCACATATATTTTCTTTTTAGTACCTCTTCTTCCCTACTGTAGAAATCATTAGAAGTATTATACTTTATAAGAACATCAGCTTAATGCATTTTATAATCTTTCATTCTGTTGAAATGCTCTACTGAGATTTTATTACTGACATTAAAAGAACTAAGTGCAGCTGTAGTAATATTAGGTGCTGCTGAGAAAATTTAATTGGTTACACAATCAATTAAAAATTGTTTCTTTAATTTCTCCCTTCAGTTCTCCTTCATGGACATTTACACAGATGCCATTCAGCATCATTCCTCCATCATCCTCTCTCACACAGGACAAGCACCCTGTAGACACACTTGCTCTTCAACTGAGGACTTAGCCATCCTTCTTCTGGTTAAGTTCCCCAGACCAAAATCTGATTCACAAGGGAAGTAAACACTCAAGCCACTTTACCAGCTGCTGCAAAAGCAATCACCATTCCCCAAATCCATCTGCATTAAGTGTTCTATGGTCTATGTTGCATAAGGATTCTAGGCAACCCCTTGTGTTTGGATATGAGGGCTGCTGCTGTGAACGTACCCCACCAAGCACGCTGCACCCAAGTGCCAGAAACTTCATCCATTCCACCTCCTCGCCAAAACTGTCCAACTGCAGGATAGCTTCCAGCTGCTCCTCTGGCAAGCCCAAATGCTTCCATTTTTCCCTCAGTTCTGCAATGGCCACCATGCCTTTGGAAGAAAGCTTTGAACAAAATCATGGTACCACAATAAGAACTCCAGAAACCAGAACGAATTTAAGAACACAGTGTCTCCCCAAAATACTTCAAATACTTGACAGTCTCTCTCCCCAGCCATCCCCAACACATCAGCATTCCTTAATAGCACTGTGCATTCGATAAAGAACAGCTTGTACCTGTTTGTGCAAGACCTTAAGGAGTCCTGGGGTCAAACCAGCATCTTTTTTCTCTGTTGCTAATGGCATTTCGAGCCTCTCCTTCACAGGAAGGGGTTCACCTTTAGATAAGGCTGAAAAATACCTAAGTGAATGGAAAGAGCGACACACCTCAATGCCCATGGCCATTACAAACTGCACAGAAGTAAATTCTCTTACAGTTCAGTGTAAGAGTCTGCAGGCTCCCCCACAGGAGCAGCAGCACCGGGTAAGTTGCCTACATGCACAACTCCCATATTCCTGTGCCCAAAACCCACAATCTTTAGACTTTACTTGCCCCTTTTCATGACACTCTAATAGTTCTTGAGGCATTTAACTTATTTTGTGCATGCTATATTCAGTTCTTTTGGTTGATGAACCTGAGGACTTATCTGTTTAACATTCCTCTTGTGGACTACCCAAAATGTACATCTTCCTATTCACATTGCAATTCTCTTCTCAGTATTTCTGCTATTTCTGTCCACTACAAAATAAAATTTAAGAACAGAGCACAAAGGGCATGGGATGCACATCCTTTTAATTATAAGGCTGTCAACCTTAAGAACTGCCTCTGCCTTAACTGGCCAACAAACTGAATTGTGCAAGGAAAACTCGGTTTTTATTCAGGTGCATCTAATGTACAAGTTTCTCCACCTGTCCTGCCTCATCTGTCCTGGTCATCCCTGTCCATGTGCAGGCTATCCCCTGCTGTGCAAACACCTGCTAAAATACAGCAGGCAGCACTCCAGAACTGAATTAGTGACTACAGAAACAGATGCACAGTATGCATGCACAGATAACACCCGGGCTATTTTTCAGCCAGATCCAGTTCCTCATCTGATGATTCACAGGCACCAGCACTACAGCAGCAGCAGCACGTGTGAAGCCACAGCTTTGCTCTGCATTGCATGGCTCCCAGGGATGGATCTTGCTCTGCCAGGTCGGGAGCATGCTCCAGAGAGAGGGGCTGCGATGGGAGCAGCAGCAGGAGGATCGCAGCAGCCGCGCTGCTGCAGGGCTCAGGCAGAGCTCGGGGCCGTCCCTGCTCCCGCAGCCCCAGTCCCAGCAGGCTCCAGCTACACAGGTAACCTCACCTCCAACACATTCCTAAGAAACGCCACACCATTTCAAGGTGGTCCTGCTGGCTTTCTCCAACACTGCAGCGGTAACAATTCAGCTTCAGATTATTTTCTTTCTAACAGACAAGCCGGACTCCAGCCTGGCTGTGTTAATAACCTCCCTTCCCTCACACGGTGCAGACGTTTTCCAATCCCCCCAGCTGAGAACATCTCACCTTTCAAGAGCTTGCCCACACAAACCATAGGGCAGGAAAAAATTATAGTGAGCAGCTGAGGTAAAAGAAACAAACTGTTAAAGGAGAAACATTTAAACATCTAAATCAACTTTATGGCAAGAGATTTATTATGCCGATTATCACTTTAAAGGTGCAATTTTTCAGGCACTTTTCCCAGAAAGAAAGAAGAGAAACCTAACCAGGCTTAAGAATGAGAAAGTTAATGTCTAATTTTTTCCTTTAAATTCCAAGAACTGAATCTCAGATGAAAGAAGAAAAACCAAACCAAACCAAAAGGAAAAAGAGTTGGTCTTTCAGATAGAAAAACTAATAACAAAAATCAAATTAAGATGCATTTTTCTGTAAGGAAATCCAGCTATTTCAGAAGTAAGCCAGCCCTAAACCTCAAGGAAACAGCAAATAAATAAAATAAATAAAATTTTTTAAAGGCTTACATGCTGCATTAGTACACAGAAGTGTATATGCAATGTATATACTGACGCAATATTCAAAACTGTGTCCACTATACAATAAAGAGGAGAGTGAGGTTTTGAGGGTCCATATGTAGAGCTCTCTGTTGTTAGGTGAACACCATACTTACGCAGCTGCCCACTGCAAAACATCAAAAGGCTGAGTCCTGATAGCAGCTTTAGTAAATTGCTTCAGAATATCAGGGAGCTCCGGGGGGATTTTGATCTGCTGAGCACAGAACATGGTTTCTGGAAGAGGCATGGTGCCCAGTCACAAGGACCTGCAAGAAATAAAACAGCATTTCACAGATGCAGAATGTGAATGAAAAGCTGTGTGTGCACATGGGAGTGAATAGTGCCTGTCCCCAGATTTTCTCCTGTCCTACCTGACAGCCAGGGCTTCTGGGGTGCTGACAGACTTCAAAGGGTAAACAGACACAGCTCTGTGTGGCTCTAGGCTCTAAAAAACTTTATGGCTACACCAAGTAAAGCACGTCAGCTTGGGCACCAATCACAGATGGGTGAGAACTACTGCTCTAACAGGTGACTTCAGATAGTTTTAAACTGATTTTTCTCCTCAGACCTACCACAACAAAAATTTGTAAAATGGGCAGTCCAGACAAGGCACACCACACATGCCAACATGAAAGGTATCTACATTGACAACTCACTACTGCATGCCAAGGAAAATCTTGATATTTTTGTACAGATACCAGAATACGCAGATGAGCAAGTCTGTATTGTGTTTATGTATTCAAAAATGCTGTAGCAAAAAGTTACTAATATGTGCTTGTGACAAACTCTACATCAAACAAATACAGTGACAAACAAGATATTAATGTGTCCTGCAAGCAGATATCACACTTGGTTCATCCAGCTCCACAGGCGTGTCTGTCTCATTCAGGATTTAACTCATTTGTTGCAAGGAACCCTGTTCCCCAGGATCCAAAAGAAGGGACAGAGATAGGCTATTGTATGGTTCTTCTCCCATAGCAATGGAGCACATTCAGTGGGAAACCCTTCTCATAATTTCCAGGATAAACTATGGCATACTTAAGTTGATTTAGCAACAAGAACCTAAGATGGTTAGTTGTTTGCAGAAAGGAGGAGCAGTAAAAGCAACAGCATTAAGAAAGTAATCAGGAATTATGTAACAGAATCCTCTATCCCTTTAGACTTTTTAAAGATAAGAGTACCTGGCAGGTGGCTTTCTCACATTAATTTTCCTGTAGCGGAAAAGAAAAAAATTAAAAGTCAGAGATAGAGCAATGGAACCGCAGTGGCTCAAGGCTCCTTTGAGGATCAAGCCATACTTAGAGCTTTATTTATGGAGAAATGCAGACAGGGTACAGCATCTTCATCACTCCAATGCAGGCAATTTGCATCAGAAACAGACTTCAAAGTGCACATTTAATTACCACATTGGTCACGCACTTTCAGTAATGATTCAAAAACACAGCTCTAGCCAAGGAACAGAAGCTGAAGGCAAAAAAGCTGAGGATTTCAGGACAACAGAAAAACTCTGAGGAAGGAATACAGCTGTGTGTGCATGTACCCTTGGGAAGTAATCAAACAAAAGAATTAAAATAAAATCATAAAAAAAATGCATTGCAAGAGCTGCTTTTCTACAGTAAGCCATTAATCACAGAATAGCAGAGGTGGCCAGAGACTTCTTGGAGGTCAGCTGCTCTGAACCCCTGCACAACCTATGAGCAGGGTGCCAAAGATCCATGTCCAGGTGTGTTCCAAGAATCTCCAAGGATGGAGACTCCGCACTCCCCTGGGCAACCTGTGCCGGTGCTCGGTCACCCTCACAGGGAAAGAAGGTCTCTTGATGTCCAGAGGGAACCTCCTGCACATATATACACACCTAATGGTCAAAGAAAAGCACAGCTAGGTCAGGCAGCCTCTGCACCCCTTCACCATGGGTTACTCCCGCTACAGACAAAGCTCAGCTCACCACTTTCACTTCCCTCTAGTTAGCTCTAATGTTCTACTTTTTTCCTTCCGCCAACCCAAGCCAGCCCCAGGTGTTCAGGAAACAAGGCCAAGGCGTGTCCGCACGCAGATGGGACCGGCCCAGCCCCGGCTGCCCGCGGCCCGTCCGCCCCGAGCTGCGGGGAGGCACCGCCGGCGGCCAGCGGCCCCTTGCAGGCCGGAGGGAGCCCCAGGGCCGCCCACGGCCCCAGAGCCCCGGACACCCCCGCGGAGGCCGGCCCGGCGCTCGGGCAAGGCCCGGACACAGCCCCTCACCTGCCCCGCTCCGCGGCCCTGCTGCCCCGACAACGCGCAGGGACCGGCCGGGGCGGGGCAAAACGCAATGGCGGCGAGCTTTAAAGGGCAACAGCGGCACCCGCTCTTTGTACAAACTTTGGAAAAGGCCCAAACCATGGATGAGGATATTTAATGTAAAGTTACGAGCTTTACTTTCGTACAGTCACAGATGCAGCCTGCAGGGTGGGGCGCAGTCGGCTGGAGGATACAGCGGCGGGACAGGAGCCAGCAGTGGGCCCAGGTGGCCAAAAAGGCCCGCGGCATCCTGCCTGTAACAGCAGTAGTGTTGCCAGCAGGATGGGGGGAAGTGATTCTTCCCCTGTACACGGCCCTGCTGAGGCTACACCTCGAATCCTGTGTCCTCTCAATTCAAGGAGGGACTGGAGGGTGCTGGAGGGAAAGGTGACAAAGCTGGACAAGAGCCTGGAGCACAAGTCCTATGAGGAACAGCTGGGGAAGGTAGGTTGTTTAGCCTGGAGAAGAAGAGTCTCAGGGGTAACCTTATTGCTCTCTACAACTGCTTGAAAGGAGGCTGTAGGCAAGTGAAGGTTGGCATCTTCTCCCAAGCAACCAGTGACAGAGTAAGAGGGCACAGTCTTCAAGCTGTGACAGGGGACATTAAGACATTTAGGTTGGACATTAAGAAGAATTTCTTCACAGAAGGGGTGATTAGACAGTGGAAGGGTTGATCCAGGGAGGTGGTAGAATCACCATCCCAGCTGGTGTTTAAGGAAAGACTCCATGAAGCACTTTGTGCCGTGGTCTAGGTGCTAGGGTGGTGTTCAGTCATAGGCTGGTCTTTTTCTCAGACATCTTTTCCAACTTGATTGATTCTGTGAACATCTTAGCCCCATGTAATTGGCAGAGCCCGTGGCTTGGAAGGCTGATTCCTGCAGGTGCCTGGGTTCCCTGTAGCCTGTTGGCCCCTTCATGTCCCCTGGCCACAAGGATGCTCTACTTGGTGAGCAGTGTTAGGGTGGCATGTCTATCTTGCCTTTGGCATACTTGCACCTCCTTTCCTGGCATGGATGAAATGTGAAGAAATGTTGAGTGAGCTGAAAAAGAGACAGGACAATGTATCCCCAAAAATTCCCTTAGAAGCTGCTGCTTCCAAGGACAGCTTAGCCACAATCAACCTCTGCTGGTCAGGCTCCACAGTGCTGGACATTCAGGATAGCAGCACCACTGAGAATCTGGCACCATGGAGAGAGCACAGCCAGTGGCAGCAGCTTCTCAGCATCTGCTGGTCCGAATTGACACCATGAGGCAGCGTGGGCTCTCCCACTGCTCCAGAATGTGAGGAACCAAAGTGCCCTCTCTGCCACAAAGTCTTCTTTCCACTGCAGATAAAAACAGCACCAGAGGTAACCTGACTGGCATCCTCTGTAAAGATGCCAGCACATCTCTTGGTTACAAAGCAATACCCCTCCTGTACCTTCTAAAATGGACTCTACACAGCCAGAGCACTCAAATCAACTTGGTAATAGGATTATTCACTTCAGAAAGCCTTCTCAAGCCATTGCTCAAATGAAACTTGGGTGCTGCATGCTCAAAACAGGCCAAGCAGAAGCACACAACCCTATTTGAAGCCAGGCCTTTTTAATCCACATTATGTCCCTGCTGATGAACATATAAGGCCATGCAGGACAAAGATAAAATGGTGGGCTCTGGAAAGCAATAAGCACACATTTTAACAACTGTTTAATCTTTCATAAAACAGGAATACTTAGCATAAGCTGCAGGCTAATTATTTGGCCTCAAAATACTTTGCAGATTCCTGTAACTAAAGAAAACAGTAAACTTCTGACATATAATGACATACATTTCTATCCTTTAGTTGTTTTAAAGCATCTACTCATTTAAAAACACTATAGCAAGAAAAACATGAAGGAAACATTATCCTTCAGGAACTTAGAGAATAGAATTCAATTAAACCAATCTCACAGTGCAGTTTCTCAAAGGTGTCTAGTGATAACAGATTAACAACAAGATGCATATTCTCTCTCATCTGTGGTCCTTGCACACACTCTAAACTATCCTTAAAATGCTCCAAAAGTAGATGTCATACTCTGAATTCTTCCAGCAATTTGGTCCAGTGCAGTGAAATCATACATAAAGCTGCCACACTGTATTATGGGAAACAGCAGCATGTAGGTGGAAATTTTGTTCTGTATTTAATGAAATGTATTTTCATAGAATCATAGACTGGCCTGGCTTGGACCTTAGAAATCACCTAGTTCCAACCCTCCTGCCACAGGCACAAGCACTTACACTACACCAAACTACTCAGAGCTCCATCCAACCTGGCCTTTCACATTTCCAGTGGTGGGGCATCCACATCTTTTCTGGGCAACCTGTTCCAGTGTCCCATCACCCTTCACAGTAGAGAATGTCTTCCTATCATCTAATTAAACCTACTCTCTTTCAGTTTGAAGCCACTTCCCCTTTGTCCTGTCACTACATGCTCTTGTAAATACTCTCTTTATATGAATTTATGCTGCTTCCTAGAAGTATTTCCTCCCACGGTGTAATACACAGCCTTATATATATAAAGACCATGGATGTAATTGTTGCTTTATAGCAGCACTGCCAGAAATGCTGCTATAAAGCAGCATACCTTAGAATTTCTGCTGCTTCCTACTTCCATGACTCCTGCTAACAACTAGTCAAAATATCCCATGGACTCTCCACTCTAATCCAGCAGTATTTTTTAGATGCATCACATTCCTTACCTAACCCTAGCAAGCCACTTTGGCAATTTGTATCTGCTGAACGTGGCACACCAGTGCAGCTCTGCACTATTTAGGTTTTAATACAGAAATTCTATCCAATATAAATAAAAGAGCTTTGCACTGTTCTCTGGTTTTGTAAGCAACAAGGAATTATAAGTAAAACTAGTGTCCTTTTCCAGGAACACAAACAGCCCTTGAAAGCCAAGTAATGTTAAATACCACCCACTCTTCCCATGCCTGATGTAGACACCTGCAGATGTTTGACTTCACCTTATATAGGGGAAAATGCCTCTGCAGCTTTGGTGTTGGCCAGTACTCAACAGGTAAGAGATAATAGCAGGTATGCAGATAAGCAGAAAAACTGATATGCAGAGCTGTGAAATAATTTTGCCATTGCTCCATCTCTCAGTATTACACTGAACTCAAAGCATTCAGTTTATTTTGAAATGGTATTTGACCTCTAGAAATACAATCTTTAAAAATTTTCCATTATTGAGTAACTTTGATTTCTGCATATGATTTCTCAATTTATGGTTACTTCTTAATGAAGAAATTAAAACCAGATGCACAGTTTTTAAAAAATGCTGTTAACTATGCAATTCTTTAGTTCCAGCTACTAATTAAGAACTGAAATGCCACAGTAAGAGAGCTCTAACTTACCATTATGCTTCATAAAAGTTGTTTCCTCATCTCTTTTCAGAAAACAGCTTCTTTTCTTTTGCACCCAGAACTTCATAACACTACCAAGATTCAATTCCTTGTTTAATGTTTCTACTATTTGCATCATCATTTCTGCCAAGAGCTTCACTCATTGCCCAGGCTGTACCATGGCCATTATTCCCAAGGCAAGCAGAACAAGAACACTGATCTTACCACAAAACCTTTCCAATGTGGATGTAGAAAAATGGACAGTGACGTCCAAGGAAGCACAATGATGCTGATCAGCATGCCAGGCAATCAAACCCCAGTCATTTGTGCCTTGTGAGGTACAGGCTTCTTTGTGAAGCTTTTTACAGAGCTCTCTGCAGAACAGCGCAGCTGCTGTGAAGATTTTTATGAGGACCTTTACGCAAGTACAGGGGAAGGCAAGCAAAGAATTAATGCACTCAGCAGAAAAGTGATGTGAGCACTGTAATAGGCTGGAGTTGGCATCTTACTGAGGAAGTCACTGACACAGAGCAGTTACAGGCACTGAAGGGCCCTCAGAAACAAAATCAAGTAACTTCGGCTTCACTCAATAGAGAAGGGGCAGACAGAAAAGATGCAGAGTTTTAACTATTTTTAATCAATATAAAATAACCTGTGTAAAAACAGTCGAAGCTATGCTGCAATTAACTTTTTTCAATATGCACAAGATAGCTACAGAGCCATCTGACAGTTCTTGGATGAAGGCTTGTGGAACTAACAACAGCATCAGATTCTCAACACACAAAGGGGACACAATTGAGCCAGTACACACCTCCAACCCCTCCAGTCAAGATCAAGGTCAACACAAACTGTGGTGGAAGAGTGCCTCCACCCACCCACCCACTCACACACACTTTCCCACTTGAAAAGTAACAGGAGCACACACCACTGCATCACTCCAGCACAGCTGTGTCAGAAACAGCCACTTACAAGCTTACTTATCAAGTTTCTATGCCAGGGGAGTACATAGCACACAATAAGGCAAACCACTGAAATTTAAAACAATTTATAAAGTACTGTTATTTAATTCCTGTTCTCTACAACCTCCATATTCTTTCAAAAATGTGTAAAAATAAGATGAGGAGATGAGATTTCTGAGAAGTTCACAATGGACAGTTCTGGAAACAAACTTTACCTGGGATCTGTAGAGCAGTGCAAATGCCAGCACAACAGTTGGATTTGACACCAGTTTTCCATTTAAAAAAAAGCAATTACAGATACCGTAAGCTACATCAAAATAGCTGCAGTTCACATTGCATGACTGACCTGATTTGCTGTTTTCTTTCATGACTTGTAAAATATCAGTAGAAACAGCACAAAGACTTTTTCTTAATAAATTTTAATATTAAGACCAGTTTGTCTGGATAAAAACACAGTTACAAGTACCACACTACTGCAAATTCTGCATGATGCACAGTAGTGCTCACAACATTTGCGTGGCAAGACCATTTTGGAACGGTTTGTGAAAGGTATGTCAAAAACAGAATCTTGGCATAAGTAATAATGTATGTTACCAGTGAATTTATTATTGTGAAAATATATCTGTCCCACAATGTACACCACTGTAAATAATCAAATGCAATATTTATGCGCATCAAAAATATATGGGGTGAATATATACTCAGTTCAGCATTAAATCAGCAACAGTAAATGAAAAAAATATTTTGGCTATTTTTCTATGATTTCATTTCACTGGAAATTTTCTAATAAATCACTGCAAAGGGTAATATTTGTGGTTCAAAACCATCAGGACAACAGTGATTCTGTAAAATAGTATGGATCTGAGAGTGACAGCCCAATCCTCCTGCCACTAGATTCAGATGCATTTGGCTTGTGCTCACTGCCTTAGAACGTGAGTCCAGACACCAAAGAATGAACTACCACCATCACAGCCTGGACCACATTAGCTCACACCATGTCAGATCAGAGATGCAACATCAATAAAAGGAGATGATACTTTAAAAGCACCTGCCAGATTCTCAAGTATTAATTATATACACACATGGTAAAGTACAGAATACTGAAGGAGAGTGTACTGAATAGCAAGTTAAATGTTCCATTCACTTTCTCATTACAGCAATGGATATTCACATTTTCCACATTGGTCCAGGAAAGATACTGCAATCTAAGCATGTGATTTGATGCTACTTAAAGCTTTGAGATACTGTTATGTGTTTTCTTTATCTACATAACCCCCACCCCCAAATATTACTGCAAAAGAACTATCTACATATAGAAATAACACAGACTTGATTTGGTGGCTCTTGTTTGATGGTGTTCTTGCAAAGAAATCTGCTAACTTTTCCTTGCCTGTTTAATAGCATATGTATTTCCCTGCCCCTCAGGCCATAAATGGTACATGATAAATCACTTCCTCAGCATTATTCCTGTAAAAATTCACAGTGACCAATTCTGAGAGAATTTTTTTTGGTTGGGTTTGGTTCTTTTAAAAGTAATTGTGCAATATAAAATTCATACTACAATTTTCAACTTTGGTAACTTACAGAAAAAAGATTTCACGCCGTTTAACTAAGGATCAGGTCAGGACGTTGCTCACACTATGCTCTTCGTGCTGTGCAAGCACATCAGTTAATGTTCATCCCTTTTCTTGAGATCCTGAAAAATTCTAATATTGATAAGAAATTTGCTACAATTTAAGTTGTGAACATATTTAATTTTTCTCGGTACCTTTAAATACTTCCATCACCTAGCCTTAGTAAATTTTTACTTACTGCTTCAGTTAATGGATTCCTGATCCCAAAGCAAACACCCACCTACCCCCTTCAACCAAACAGAAAAATCCAGCTGAGCTTCAACAAGTACATCTGAATTCTCAGAAGAGGAAATATTTTCTTGATTTAACAGCAACTGTACAATATTACAAACTCTGACACATGAAAAACAATCAGGCAATAGAAAAATGTACAACAGCTTTGGTGTTATACAAAATAATAAAAAAGACTGGACAGCAAGATACATAGTTCATTATGTTCTCAACACAGCAACTTCATTGCTGACTGTAAGACAGTTATTTACTTTTGATATTCTCTACGTGGCCTTTCCACTCATGAAAAATCATACTGTATTACTACAATAAGAACTGTTATGAACGCCATAAAGTAAGCTCCAAATTTTATAAAAACATCTTGCCTCTTTGCACTATTGCTTTGTGGCACATTGTCAACAGAACAGCAGTCCAAAATAAAGTGACAACTAGATTTAATAAATTAATATACTTTTTAAAGATGTACAATGCACATTCTTTTTAATCCAAGGTTTTAGGGTGTCAGGACACTTCTATATACACATATACAGATCTCAGACAGCATTTACAACATCAGAAAATGCAGATAAGAAACAGAGCCTTAACTGCTATCTTGATGCTACCAACAGAAGCCAAAACACTGCTGAGAGTATTATTGGGAAAGATATCCAAAGACGAGAAGAGTCTATGAAAAAAGGACATGTAAAGGCAAAGGGAAGGTCAACATGTTTAATATGACCATCTATTCTTGTGAAGACTGAGGTGGAGTTGTTGATGTGCCTGGTTTACCAGACTTCCGTTCGTAATTCACAAGTCGTTGTCCAACAAGGTACCTGGGATCACAGTAAAAACAGAATTTAACACAAGGGAATACTATTTTGTAACACAAATCCACTCTATCTCCTTTGCTGCCAAAGTAATGTTTTCATTTCAATAAAAGTTATTCTATAAATTGTAAAGGAACAACTTTAGCTGGTCCTTAAGCTTTCTTAAAGGGAAAGAAAATATCCTGATGCTACTCCATGGAAAGCTTAAGGGCTGCAGAATTCCTTTAGTGTGATATTGAAAGAAAATTAACTATCACAGCAGCTTAACAGTTTTCATACCTTTCACATTATTCCTTTCTTCCTCTCTATCACTATTCCACACTTTTTGCCACCTAAATTCCTTTTCATGCTTCCTATTTGCACGCTAGTTCTGTGTGTACAAGAGCCCTACACACCTATGAAGTAGTTGCTAGATCAATTGCTAATCTTCTTAATCCATAAAAAAGGAATTAGGGTAACACCAAAAATAATTTAATAACACAAATAAAAGGTTCAACTAAGCAAGATAACAAGAAAATAATAGGAAAATTATTATTTTTATCAGGCTTCTGAGTAATACAGAGTAATAATTACTGAAAACATCAGAAAATCACTCAAAATTTGGTAAGGACAAGCTATCAAAACAACTGAACATTCTTTAACAGGTTAGCTGGACTAATAAGTAGAAAGAGTAAGAAAAACAGTTATACAGAAAAGGTTGAAGAAATGGTTTTATAAGCAGCAGCTTCAGACATTATTTTAACTTCCAGGTATGTTGTAATTCATTACAGTCACTTGTTATTCAAGACTACAGGTGAGACCAACAGTCAGCTTCATTTGTGGGAAAACACACTCATGTTAGATATGGGGGAGTGTCTTCCCTTTATAAAGACAGTCTATCCCTGTGTTTATCTACCTGAACCACAGATAAAACATCTGCCAAGAACACTTTGTCTGTTTTAGAGCGTCATTTGTCTACATAACTTCTTAAAAACCCTTTTAGTCCTAAGTATTTACAACACCTGAATTTGACCTGAAGTATTCACATATATAGATACATATAAAGGTGAAAAATTTAAAAAAAACCCACTATATACTCACTTGTCATTTTTAATATGTTCATAAAGGCGCTTGAACTGGCGGACTTGGAAGGACAGAATTCCCATCAAAACCACCACCATAAGCAGAAAAGGATAAATGCGTCGCTGAACGAGGTTCTGCATTTCAGCTGTAACTCCTACAAAACAAGACGCCATGCTTAGACATCGTAATACTGCTGAACTAACATATTTCTGCTTCTCTTCTTGCTTCCATACTTTTTGTTATACTGTAACTTCAGCTGAAGGGCTGTGAATCAATGACACATTCATTTACTTCAAAGATCCAATGTGACAGCTGCTGTTCTTTTTAATCTGAAGCACTACGAGTGGAAAGTTTTCCATTAACAGGGTGAAAACCAGAGTAGAAAAAGAAAAGAGCTTATCAGTTCTTTTTGCCTATTAACTTCTGCTTATCTGCTTACTGACTTCTCCTTGTGTCAGAAAAGTCAACGCAATAAAAGTCAGCATTCAAATGAGACTGAAGAATAAAACGGGACTTCTTGAACATGTTAATATCAAAACTAACTAGTACAAGACAAGTCTTGATGAAAAAGCTTATATATCCTGGTTCTAATCAAATTATTTACCTCAATTATTAGGACATAGGAAAGTCTGAAAAAACCCTATATATTTAAAATTTACATTTTAATACTATTAAAACCTCGAAACAAACTCAGGATTTTCACCTGTTCTAAGCTTTATTTAGAATCTGACAAGCCAGAAAAAGATGGCCTCAACTCAGTATAGCTCCTAGAGGGACTAAAATCAAAGGCTGATAGTCCAAAGAAAAAAGTTAATTAATCATTCCTTTTCCAAACTAGCTAGATACCTAAAATGCACAGAGAAGAAATCAGGGTCTGCCCCTCTTCTTGAGTAAGAGGAGGGGCAGACACTGATTTCTTCACTGCGGTGACCAGTGACAGGACCCAAGGAGCAGCCTCAACTGTGTTAGGGAAGGGCTTGGGCTGGGTATTAGAAAAAGGCTCTTCCCCCAGAGAGTGGCTGGGCACTGGCACAGGCTCCTCAGGGAAGTGGTCACAGCACCAAGCTTGACAGAGTTCAAGAAGTATTTGGACAATATTCCTGGAACATGGTGTGATTCTTGGAAGTCTTTAAACATTTACACTTGTCAGCAGGAGCTTTTTATTTGCGTTTTTGTTGTGGTTGTTTTTGTTTTTTTAATAAACTAAAGCTTGAAGTTTTATTTCCACAAACATATTTACTCTGCTGTAAACCATGAGATGACAAATAGGTGTTCTGAATGCATACATACCCAGTAAAGGTACAACACCAGAAGCTATGATGTACGGCACACACAGGGAAAGCAAGAGGACAGAGATTACGGGTGCTGCCAGTTTACGGATGATGAAGTGTAAGTCAATGTTACGAATCCCATTTGCATATACCTAAAATGGAACAAGTTAGAACAGATCAATTAAGAAAGCCTTGCTTTGCACTTACAGTAATAATCAGAAGGTTTTACACAATTCTCCTTATGAAAGGAAATGGGTGTTTCCATTGCCACAGCTGAAGAAGAAAAAACTCTGCCAATTTACATCATGAAGGTTCCAGGAAATCATTTAAACAATGCCTAAGAGACCAACTTAAACTGGAACAGAGTTGAGATTCAGTTGCAGGAATGCAAGTGACCTTCTGAAAGATCATTTCATAGAGCTGTGGACAATGGTTCTGTGGGTGACCTGGGATCACTTTGCACTGTTAACTTACTAGAAGAGGAGCCTGTATAGGCTAATAGAATAAATTATTACATTTTGTAATGGGCAGAAAATAGGATCCTTTTTTATTTGGTGGGGCAGACCAGAGCCTCTGTACATATAGTCTGTGCCTGAAAAAAAGGCTTCCACAATTCTTAAGCTTCTCCAGTTACTACCAGAAGCTAAGGTCAAAACACAACCAGATTAAGCATGGGGAAAAAAACAGTTTTGAATGGCTCCCAGCTACAGCTAAACAATG